CTGATTCAGGGGCAGGACCCAGGAATCCGCCTTCTTAAAAATACCCCACCTAATTCTTATGCACAATTCCATTTGAGAACCACTAATTCAGTAAGTCTGAGAAATGTGCCCAAAAGATTATCCGTCAGAGGAGTGCTGAATATGGGTACAATAGGGGGCCTTCTAGTGACACAAAACAAATCTCTGATCAGCATCCGCCCTCGTCAATGCCAGATATTTATCACAAAACTCCACGTCGCATACTAGTCTTGCCCAGACATTCTAAATTACATTCACCATTAAGTTAGATTGTGAGCTATCAATTTTATAACAGAAACCCTTCGTGCAGAAAACTAAAGTCTCCAGTGATCTACCATCCGCCCTAAAATGTCTAATTCACTTGACATTTAGTTTGATTTCATTTGGCTCATGAACCACACATGTTCGCCTATTTTCTTCCCATGACAGTAATGTTCATACGGAGTAGTGCTTTTCATAATTTTTTCCCCTTTGGCAGAAATACAAAACACACACACACACACACACACACACACACACACACACACACACCATACCAATTAACATTTTTTTTTAGTTGAATTGAGAAGCATGTGAGATATTGGATTTGAAGAAAGTAAGCTCCGAGCAAAAGTGGATGACACATACAGACCCTATGTAAGCCCTCGCATGTTGTGCACAGAAAAATCACGTGGGGGATGGCCAGCAACGCAGATTGCAGAGGAGTGTGGTTTGGTAAGACAGGTGCCAACGTTTAACAAACCCACTAATCCTCACGTGATCGGTTCTGAGAGAACATTCTAGGGATTTCAAGATTGTTCAAATCCAAGCTCATATCTAAACCTCCGTTTGAGTTTAAACCAATATATTAAACACCATAGGTTGTCCATACACACGTATTTAGTTAAAGTAATAACCAAAGGGAACAAATAAGAAAATTCAGTTCGTCTCATGACAGCCCACATTTTGTCAGTCAGAGCTGGAGGATCTTGCTAATCTCATAAATTACTTCCTCCTGAATTAAGAGCCACCTGCAGTAAAAAAGGCAACCTAATGTAGGCTTTTGCCTTTGTTCCTTTTAGAGAGCACATCAAATATTCTAATTACCTTTTAAAAATAAAATAAAAATGTGTTGAACAAGGAGGAATGCTGACAGAGGGCGGAGTAAAAATGAGCATTATTCTCTGGCTAACAGCAGTGATCAGAGAAATATAATCCTGAAGATCATATAAAATAAAACCAAATGAATTTGATCATTTCCTGGTGTTAGGACTGTCATTTCCCTATCCCCACAGAATTCATTGTGGCAGATATTGGGGTATTATCTAATTACTGATAACTCACAAAGAATGGGGATGTTCTCATCCTCACTTCCATTTTGGGGGGGACCAGGATACAATCAGGTTCTAGGATTGGGGGTTTTCTGAGAATCTAGGAGGCATCCTTTAGATATTCATATAACATGCTATTTTTTCCAAATAGTCCACAAACCTGTAAAAGGAGCCTTGGCTTATTACTTAATAATGACCACGTGATCTCCAATAAGGCTCAGTCTTTTCAGCTGTAAAATTGGTACTCTGGTCAATCTGGATTCATGGTCTAAGCTCTTCCCACTTAGCCAGGATGCTCCTCCCACACCACAGTGTCTGAGGTTTATTTGAGAGGACCCCATAAGATCATTTTTATAAAAGTGCCCTGTAAGCTATGAAGCACTATACAGACGAAGAGAACTGTTATCCGTCTTTTATGAAGCCCATCTATAAAGATGCAAAGTGACTCAGAAAAAGAAAACAAGGTAGACAAACCTGAAATACAACGTCTATGAGTGCCTAAAACCGTGGTCGGCAAACTGTGGCTCTCGGGCCACATGTGGCTCTTTGGCTCCTTGAGTGTGGCTCTCCCACAAAGTACCACAGCCTGGGCAAGTCTATGTTGAAGAAGTGGCGTTAGAAGAAGTTTAGGTTTAAAAAATTTGGCTCTCCAAAGAAATGTCAATCGTTGTCCTGTTGCTATTTGGCTCTGTTGACTAATGAGTTTGCAGACCACTGGCCTAGAACATTACTCTATACACAGTAAGTGGGTGCTTTTTAAGGACTGAGTGAATAAAGAGAAACACACACACACAAATGTGTTTTCATCTCTACCAGACCAAGTACGATACCAAGAAAGAATAAATATACCTAAAATCAATGATAGTCTGATTCAACCAAACAAGCCACAATGCCCCTAGAGCTCAGATCTTAAGAAGTACTTGATAGGAAAGAGCATTAAAATATAAAATATAACCCACCACCTGCAAATAAATGGTTGTAGTCTTACCTTTTCTGGCTTTCAAATGTAGTCTTGTAGGGAGAGAAGAGTCTTAGTGAAGTTGCAGATTTTTTTTTCTCCTGTTATCTGGTAGATCTACATAATCATCCTAGCAAACGTAGGAGGAAATAAATTCTATTGAATGTTGGGTACCTTAGCTCTGTTTTTGATCTGGAAAACTGACTCTGGGTGACACCCCAATTTTAGGCAAACAGACTGTATCCCCTAAGCTCCCCTCTACACACACACACAAAAGAAAACTGGTGTGCAGGGCGGGGACAGGGGGAGAGATATGGGGAAGAAGCCATTGACTTTATAAAACAACTCTTTCTGAGTCCTTTGTCAGATTCCTAGAAAAAGTAAAACGTGGCTCAAATTTAGACATTCAAATGGTGTGGCATACCACTTTTGACTTAGCTGTTTGTGCAGAATGCGGCAAACCCATTCTGGGAAATAACGAATTTAAAAAATTCAGGGGAAAAAATGTTTTCTCCTGGGTGGGCCAGAACTCCACTCCCACCCCCACACACCCCAACCCCCCGTTGCAAATGTGTTTTTATGCTGGGTAACGTTTCCAAAACAGGGGTGTGAGAGTGTGTGTGTGTGTGTGTGTGTTCTATTGTTGAAACGAAACAAACAAGTTTGCTTTCAGGGTCACAGAAATGCCCAGCTCTTCGCAAACACGTTTTCCCCTGGCCTGGCAGCCTGCCTCCCCTGTCCCCAGGCAACCTTTCCTCCGGCCCCTCGCCCTGGGAGGTCCCCTGGGGCTGTCTGGTGGAACTGATTTTTTTGTGTGTGTGCAGCGAGGACTAGAGCTTCTTCAACATCTCAGAGACCACCCAGAACATGGCTAATGCTTGGCAAACGTGTACGTGTTCCTTCAGTACGCTGAGGAACTAACGGACCCGCGTTTCTGGGTCTTTCTTTGCAAAAAAAAAAAAAAAAGAAAATAGATGGGGAGGGAATTTTTTTTTTTTTGAAGACGAGGAAGGGAGGAAAATCTATTCAAAATCCGCTTTGTGGGTTTGTGTTTTGCAAAGGGGCAGGGCAGTTGAAATCGGTGCAGAGACCTCGGCCGAGCTAACCGTCTGCAAGGAGCTGCACCTGCTGGAAGCTCGCTCGCCGGGAATCCGGGGCGGGGCTGCCCCCTGCACCCCTAGAGGCAAGGCTGGGGGGACAGGCCCTGGCTTCGTCTCCTCCTACTGTGTGCCTGTCCGCACGGCCCTGCTACGTGCTCCCTGCACGTTTGGGGGTGCAGAGGGGGGCGCAGGGAGCGATCATGCCGCAGCTGCCCCCGCGCCTCCGAGGCGAACTGTCTGGCACGCGGGTCTCCTCAGACCCACTGTCTCCTCCTCACGTCAGCCGAGGTCACCCGGCCTCGGGGCTGAAGGCGGGCCGCCGGGGAGCCAAGATGGAGAGGAAGCCGCCGGAGAGGGAGCCGGAGAGGGCGCGGGGCGCGGGGCGGGAGGCCCGCCTGACGGAGGGCCGCGGGGGAGGCCGGCCCCGCTCCCATTGACACCCAGGCCGGCGCCGCCCGCGCGCGGGGCTGGGCGGGGCGGGGCGAGGCGGGGCGGGAGGGGGCGGGGAGCGGCGCGCGCCCGGCCCAGGCCCCGCCCCCGCGCGCGCCCACCCGGGGAGCCGCGAGCCCCCGGGGAGCGACGGGGATGCGGGGGGGGGGGCGGGGGAGGACGCGCCGCGCGCGCCCCCGCCGGCTGACGCGGCCCCGGGCGCGCCCCCGCCCCTCCCGGTCCCCGCGGCCCGCGCGCGGCTGTGCTGACGTCACGGGCCGGCGTGCGGGGTGCGCAGAGCCGCAGGCGCACCGCGCGCCGCCGCCGCCCCCCTCCCCCCGCCCGGGCTGAGGCGCGCGCCCGCCGGCCCTCCCTTCATTTTCTCCCTCCCAGCCTCCCTCTCTCTCTGGCTCGCTCCCTCGCTCCCCTTCCGAGCTCCCGCTCTCCGGGCTCCGCTCTCCGGTCTCCTCCGGGCGATGCGAGCGCCGCGAGCCCGCGCCGCCGCCGCCGCCGCCGCCGCCTCCCGCTAGAGCCGCGTCCCCCGGGCCGGCCCCCTGCCCAGCCCTGCCCAGCGCGCGGGGGTCGGCGAAGGCGCCGCGGACTGACGCGCCGACGGCGGAGGATCGGCGATGCACATGCACTAGCGGCGCCCCCTAACCCACTCCCTCCGCGCCCCACGCCGCCGCCTCCTCCCCCGGCAGCCGCGGCAGGAGGACCCACCCTGCCCCCCACCCCGCCCTCCGCCGGCTCCGGCTCCGGCTGCGGCGGCTCCTGCCTCGACTGTCATTTCCCCGCTTCGGGCTCGTGCACCGGCCTCCGCGCCTGCAAGCCCGCGCCTCCCCGAACCGCGGGCTCCTCCTGCCTCGGCGCCCCCCGAGCTCGCCCGGACCCCGGCCACCCTCTCGCCTCGACACCCCCAGAGCCTCCTCCGCTGCTAGGATCTTGTGAGCGAGCGGCTGTCATTTTTTGCAGAAGAGGGGGGGGGAGGGAGCCCGGCTCTGGTGTCCCGACATTTTTTGTTTGCAGCCAAAGGGAGGCTATCGAGATTTTTTATTTTATTTTTTTTTTTTGTCCCCCGTTGAGCCCAGGCTCTGCTCTCTGGGGGGGTGGGGGGCGCGCCGAGCCGGGGAGCCGCCGTGCCAGCCGAGTCGCGCGGGCTGTGGCAGGGAAGGGGCCGCCGCCGCCATGGGATGTACTCTGAGCGCCGAGGAGAGGGCCGCCCTGGAGCGGAGCAAGGCGATTGAGAAAAACCTCAAAGAGGATGGCATCAGCGCCGCCAAAGACGTGAAATTACTCCTGCTGGGTAAGGACCGGACTGACACCCCATCATTCCCCCCTCCTCCCCACCCACCCCCGACCCGGGCCTCCCCGTGCCCCCCGCCCCCCTCTTCTGCAAGCTCCCGCACCCCATTCGCGCCCCCGGGGAAACCTGGTCTCCCAGGTGGCATCACCATGTCCAAGATCGCCCACTTTCTCGCATGCCTTACCTCCCCCCCCAACACACACACACACACACCCTCTACCCTGTTCCCCCAAACTGACACTGACCAGTCTCCCCCGCCCCTGTCTGTCCCAACAGGGGCTGGAGAATCGGGAAAAAGCACCATTGTGAAGCAGATGAAGTAAGTCCCCGTGGCATTGGTACTTTTATTAAGAATTATTATTATTTTTTATCTTTGGTGTTGCCTTGCTCACTCCACATTGCTCTCTCTCCAGGCCCGTTTTTTTAATTTGTATACACACACACACACACACACACACACACACACACCTGCTTTGGCTCCCTTCCCCCACTCCCTGCCTTGGTTCGGAGTCCCTCACCCCAAACTGCCTGGGTGGGTGTTTTTGAGGTTTTTTTCTTGGGAGGGGGAGACAGGGAGAGCTTGTAGTTGTATGAATGACAGTGTCCGCCATATTGATCAGGACATCACACTATTGGCATGGTTGTGATCATTATTACTCTTGCCTGTGGGGTGGGTGTTCGGTGTGTATCACTGCCTCCATTCCTCTGTCTCCGTTTCCTTCTGTTTCTCACTCTCCCCCACCCCCACCCCACCCCGGACCCCTGCTTCTACATCTATAATCCCATCTCCCCAGCTCCTCTCCTGGGGCAGTGATTTTGAACTTGGCTAAAACATTGGGTGGAGGTGGGGGGGGAGACCCAGCCCTAGATGGCTGGGGAGGAGGATCTGATGTTTGCTGTTCATGGATTTGGTGCTGAATTGGGAGGCTGTGGTTTCTGCACACCCACCCCCTCCTCTCTATCCCTCCCCCAAGAAAAGAGAAGGAGGGTGAGGGGAAGGGGCGTGTGGCAGGGGAGGGGTGGCTGTCTACGTGGATGTGGCTGGCACAGCTGTGATCTAAGGCGAGGTGGAGAGGGGACGCCGGCTGCGAGGCTGCATGCCCGCCCCTTGCTGCCCCCCTCCTGCACCCGCTCTCCCAGCGTCTGCTGCCCTGACACTGGCCGTGTTCCTCCCCGGGTGGCCTTTATCCGTGTGTTTATTTACACTCTGCATAAGCCGCGTTCCGTGTAATCTAACCACAATGCGGAATTCGGGCCCCATTTGCCACCGCCCCCTCCTGCCTTCGGTATCAGTTTCCCCTCCTTAATGAACTGGGGGTGGATGTGAGTGATGGTGGAAAATTAAGACAAAATGAGATACTCCTTCCCTTCCCCACTTTCTCGGGAAGGAGCCTCGCCCCTCCTTCCCACTCCCGGGCTCAATTCTTGCCCCATCCATCCCTGGCAGCGGGGACCCACAGGCAAGTTGCTTGGGGAGGGGGGTGGCCTGCAGGGAAGGAGTGCACCCTCCTTGGTCTCCCCACCCTCCTGCTTCCGTGGCCCTGTCGGTTCCGGATGGAGGAGTTGGTTGAGACCATTTCAGTGAGGATCCCCTCGTCTCTTTGCTGTAACACCTTCGTGCACACACAGCTCCTTAATTAGGGGTTGCCGTGCAGTAAACAAAAATGATTATTTTTTTTTTCAACTTGACAGAATAGCCCAAGTAATTGCATCCCGTTGGAAAACAAGAGAAAATATTTTTTTAAAACCCTTTCGTGGAAAGGTGGGTGGGAGACAACGAAGCGTGCTTGCGGTTTCAGAAACAAGATGCAAAAAAAATTCTTGCATGTGTAACAGGCATGACAAGCGGGTTCTAGGCGGCGCCATGATGGTAGGGAGTAGCGACTTGGAGGCAATTTTCCCCCGTCTGCTTGGCGTGGTCTCTTATTTTTTTTGTTTGTTTGTTTGTTTGAGATGCCCCTGGGACTTTCTGTGCCAAGAACCCCCCTCGGCTCAGCTCGCCGCACCCCTCTGAGCCCCGGGTAATTTGGCCTGGGGTTTCTCTGGGGCTTTTTTTGCAACACAAATGGATGGGGAGGCGGGGCCTGGGGAATTGCTCTTTGCAACCAGGTGCATGTTGCATCCGCAGGGAGCCCGTGCAGGTTGGTCGGTGCAAGCAGAGCCACCCTTTTCTCGCCAACGGGGTGTATTTTAAAAGTTCGGGAGGCTGTAGATCTGCAGGGGCGGGCTCCGAGCCCTGAGGAAGCCCGGGCCCCACCAGCTGCTGGGAGCCGGGTGAGGTTTCAGGCGTTGCGAGTGGTGGACAGCGCCCAGCCGAGGCCGGAGGAGGTGCGCCGCTCGGCAGTGCTCGGCTAGGCTCGGCGCCGGCTGGGTGCGGGGCTCGGAGGGACTCGTGGATGTTCGGAACCCAGTCGGGGGCCCGGCGGAGAGAGCCGAGCTGCTGCCTAGGGGTCCCGAAGGCGTTCGGGATGCTCAGGGAAGAAAGAGAGAGGGAGAGAGAGAGAAGAAATGGGGAGGTATGCTAGAGTCTGCAAATTAACTTTGCATCTGCCAAATCCACTGCTTACCTGGTTTTCCTCACCATGCCCCATAAATTAGGTTGGTATAATAAGAAGTTTAAAAATACACCCGGGCACCCCCCCCACTGCCCCCCCCCAAAAGGGCACCTAGCCTTTTTTTATTATTATTATTCAAAGATAGCAGGGCTCTCTGAGGAAATAGGTGTGCCATTTCAGGATGAAAATTCCTAATTATGTACTGGGGCAGGGATCTTACATGAAGGCTGGATGCAGACTTCCCTGGAAGAGTCCTGCGTGTCTCAGATTTGGTTCCGTTAAGGGAGGAGAGGGGGGCGGGGAGAGAACCACTCTGAGCTTTTGGTGTTTGAAATGGTTAAATCGTGCATCCGAGCATTTATTTTCCCTGCTCCCCCACCCCCCACCCCCTGTTTTGTCACTCACAGGGCTCCTTTTTGGAGAAAATTTCAAGCAAGACTGAGATTTTGTAGGCAAAACTATTACTTTGGGGGGTTTTTTTGTTTGTTTTTTTAAGAAAATGCAACCCTCTTTAGGAAATCGGCTATGTTTGCTCAAAAGGTCAGTCAGAGAGAATTCTGGCCCATGGGAATTCTGCTACCAGGGACCCCGGTGGCCTGTCTTGAAGCATTCATGAATGGCAGCTTTTTCCGTGAGTCCTCCAGCTTGGCTTGAAAGAAATCAGATCGGGGCCTGGTGCCAAGCTGGATGCAGGACTTGTTTTATTAACCACAAAATGTGGGATTGGTGTCACCGTATCCTGGTGACAAATTCTGCCGAGTCCTCCCATGCAGAGATGATTCTGCTGATCACCGCTTGGCTGAGCATCACTTGAGTCAGGAGAATTGAGCTGTGGGTGGGGCTGGGCCTGGCGACTGAGGTGGCGTTTACAGAGAGCCACTTTGGACTGGCCTGTGCAGTGCCATCTGTGACCGACCCATCAGGCCGTGCATGCGCGTTCGTTCGGCTGCAGTTTTATTTTAGCTGGGCAGATGAAATGAGAGAGTTCTCCACGGGTGACATCCCACGAGAACGCACTGGTTTCCTCGAGGGGTCTGCGATTAAGTAGCTCAGCCTGTCGGGTAGAAGGGAAGACTGTGGGTATTCAGACACCACCAGATCCTTCTTAGCCAGCATTTCCAGAAGAGCCAAGAGCCATTCCATGCAGCCTGTGTTGTCATCCATGTTGTCACGTGCTCATTAGAACAAGGGACAGGCTTCCACACACGCCTGTAGTAACTGGAGTTGTCTGATAAAGGACTGGCTGGCACAGGCTGCTTACCACAAGGGCCAGCCCCTGCATCAGCCTAGGAGCATCGAAGGGGGGCTGGCTTTTGGGATCATTCCGCTGGATGCATGTTATAATGAGAAACGTGCACCCACTTTAGAGATGTCACTGATTCGACTGTCCTTTGAGAAGCCCGGTTCTGAATACTTCATTAAAACTTCCGGTTTGAACATAGCTCTCTGGGTTTTATTGGATTTGTGTATGTGATTGTGAGCTAGTGTGTGGGAGCTGTGTGTCAAGGCAATCCCAAACCTTTTAGTGCATTTTGTAACAGTTTTCAGAAATAAACATTGATCATTGAAACAGCACAAATATAATTTCACACATACCATGAGTAATCGGTGTCCTTTTCTACATGTGGCATTTTAAATAGTTTTGCTTACTTGTAGGTTGTGGCCTCCCCTATGATAAAACCTCATCTTTTTTCCCCCTCATATTTTTATTTAATTGATTTGAGTGATGTAGGGAGGAAGAGGGAGAGAGAGAAACATTGATCCATTGCCTCCCTTACATGCCCCCACCAGGGATCAAACTGGAAAGCCGGGTATGTGCCCTGACCAGAGGTCAAACCCATGACCCGTTGGTGCATCGGATGACACTCCAACCGACCAAGGCCAACCTCACCATTTTTTTCGATCAATGGGACTCTTTTAGTTATTCAGACTAACCAAGATTCTAGAATAGTTCATTTTATTTAATTACCAATGCCTTTACAAAGAAATCTCTTAAAGAATTCTATTTTAGCCCCAGCTGGTTTGGATCAGTGGATAGAGCATCGGCCTGCGAACTGAAGGGTCCCAGGTTCAGTCAGTTCTGGTCAAGGGCACATGCAGGGGATTGCGGCCTCCATCCCATAGTAGGGGGCATGCAGGAGGCAGCCAATCGATTATTCTCTCTCGGCATCAATGTTTCTCTCTCTCTCTCTCTCTCTCCCTCTCCCTTTCTCTCTGAAATCAATAAAAATATTTTTTAAAAAGAACTCTTTTATGAAGTATCGAATCAACTGAGTATCACTTTAAGTGACTTCCCGTTCTGAGCAAATAGTAACAACTGCTCTTTGCCACCTATGATGAAAATGTAAAAGGAACTGTGGCGTTGCCATGGGCACCACGGCTTGCCCTCATTTGAGGTGTTGGGTTTTCTGCGATGCCCCGCCTGACCGGGCTCTCTGCCTCCGGAACACTCGGTGGATTTTTAGGGAGATAAGAGATTTCCAAAGGGACCGTGAGGCAGGCCCTTGTAGCTGCTATGCTATGCTTGACACAAATGGACACGGCAAATGGAGCACTTTGGATGCGGGCTCAGCGCCGTTGTAAAACGGATTTAAGGATTCGCCTGATAAAGACTTCTTGCTCCTATGAATACCCCGGCCCTTATACTTACCATGGGATGTGATTGCCAGGACAGACCCCACCCTGTCCTTAAGGAAGGCAGCCTTAAGAGGTCACTTGCAGCCCAAAGCTCTGGCTCGCTCCTGGGAGCTCACCCTGGTTATGT